TAGGCAGATTGATTAGAGCTCAGTTGATGGACAAAACTGCCCACTCTGTCCACTGTTATAATGAATCTACCTACAATACATCTCATGCGAGTTTGCATTGGTGTGTACATTTATACACAAGTGTGCATATGTGTTTGCGTGCTTTGTTGTACGTTATTCATTGTTGTTTCTACTCAGTATAATAATAGTCTAACTTGCAGAGATTCATACTTGAGACTTCCTTATGAATACACTTTCAAGGTAGAACTCCTGGAATGACTCATTTTCAGTACATCTGACAGTCATTTCAATTAACACATTTATCAGTGTATTTACAACATGCAGAGGGATCCTGTGAAAGGATGAAGCAAGATGAATCAAGCCTCTCACTTAGATTAAAAAGAAGCAAAACTAAATCATTACTGCAAGTTAATACTGAAGCTAAAAGCAGAGTAAGAATACAAATGAAGATTGGATGCTTACCATTAAGGATGATATTCAAAGAAACGATAGTCAGGATTAAAAAGAAAGCAAGATCAAGATCTTCTGCTATATAAATATTGTCGGTTCCATTAGCTTCAGTAGAACCATGCCAACAGTCATTAGTGATGGATCTGACCTGCAGTCTCAGAACCTGTGTATTTTAGATATACAATCTAACCTTGAAACCAAGGCTTAGAAATTGTTCCTGGGAAGGAAAGAAAAAAAAGAAATAGTTCAAAGTCTTGCACATGGGCTGGAATAATTTCATACAACAGTAGAGGCTGAGGTCAGACTAGGAAGCACCTCTGCTGAAAAGGAACTGGGATGCTGCTGGACAATAAGTTGAACAAAAGTCTGCAACACAATCTTACAGTGACAAATGTCAACTTCATAATGGACTGCATTAGCAAGAACACAGCTGACAGTTTGAGGGAATTGATTTTCCCCTCCATTTGGCATCTGTGAAGAGTGCGTGTCTGAAGTACTGTGTTCAGTTTTGGGCTGCCCAGTACCAAGCTAAAGTCCATCAGAGACCCACTGAGATGGTTAGTGACTGAAGCAGATGACACACAAGGACAGGCTCAGGAAGCTGAGCTTGTTTAACTGTAAGAAGAGAAGTCTAAGGGCAAACAGGAACCTATTTTCAACTACCTAAATAAATATTAAAGAAGAGATGAAATCAGACTAAGATGTAACATACCCAAGTTACAGCAAATGAAAATTAGAAATATCAATTAGCTTTAAGGGAAAAATTATTCACAGTGAAGGTGGTCAGACGTTAAAAAAGAGGCCCAGAGAGGCTGTGCAATCTCCGTCCTTGAGATATTCAAAGCAAGATACCACAACGGCCCTGAGGGACCTCATCTAACATTGACTTCACCCTGGCTTGGCCTCTGGTGGTCCCTTTGAATTATATAATTGTGTGATTCTGGAAAAGACTAGAAAAAAGGTGTAGAGAGAAAATCAGAAATGCCAAGGCACAAAATGAGACTAAAGAATCAAGGAATACAGCAGCCAGATAAGAGTTGCCTAAGCTAGATACTGAGCCAGACTCAAAGAATCATCATTCGGTTGTAATAGACTAAACAAAGACAAACTTCTTCTCCCTTTGGAAATCAAAACACTGCAGGCTTCTTGTAGTGAGGTAAATGAAGATAAGAATAACCTTGAGCTACAGTCACACTATTTATTCATTGCTTATTTAAGACATAGCAACCTATTGTATATTGCTGCAATTTGTCTAGCTAATTATATAGAGCTACAGTTACACATTGTGGCTAATTGCTGGAATATGCATCCTCTGAAGCCATTAAGATTGCTACCACTGACTCATCTGAGGTGTCTAATTTAGCCTTCTGAATTATCTGACTCATCTCACCAGGCTCTTCTCCGTAGGCTTTTCTAATGTCGCCTTTTAAAGGAGGTTGTCTCTACCAACGACTACACGGAGAGCTCGTGGAGAGTAACCCAACAGAGATACCCAGAGCTAGGCTCCATGAATACTGCCCTTTTTTCCTCTAGGATAAAATGGAAATGGTAATAATTGCCTACTCCCACATTCTGCATGTGTCTGTTGGTGTAATATGAATTTAACAACAGGAATACTAATATATCCATGCCATTTGCCAAAGTATTGAAATATCAGAAGGATAAATTGGAGGAAGGATTTCTGGCTGCTAAAATGCCAACTTTTCAGCAATGTCAATTAGAGTGTTTTGGGCTGTGTGAATGCCCTGGCAAAGATACAACGCTGAAAGGACAATCAGTGAAATTGGGATTTGCAGAAGATATGAAATAAATAAATAGATAGTTACTGAACAAACGTAACTAATCTCTTCTAAGAAGGCTTCATTGAATAAAGGAGCATTCAGTTTTTCTATCTGTGATTTACGGTCACTTGAGTGGTGGTTACACAGGTACTTGGGGGTTTATGAAGCATCAAAAATGTTCTGAGAAACACATAAAAGAAAACACAAATTTTAGACTATGTTCAAGACACAGCAATGTGAGGTCAAATACAGCAGCTGCAGAATATATATTATATTCATATATATTCTACATATTTTATTCTATTAAAATAGATTTGCTGCTGTAACTATGATAAATGAATAGGGCATGAGGAGAGACACAAATAGTTCATTTATAGAATGGAATTACCACTTTGTGGAAAAAGCGAGAAATATAAAGAAAGAGTTACAGATGAGGAGAAAAGTGTGAGAGAATAGTCAAATGAATATGGCCCATGCTGTCAAAGACAGCTGAATGTAGAATGTTGGTTCCGAGATCTGGTTGGGAAAAGATTATTTGTCATATTGGTTAGGTCAGTGCCAGTGGAGCTGAAGGAAGGGATTAGAGAGGGTCTGGGATGGATAACAGGAAACGACCTCCAAAAACTGATTGTAGGTACTACATCTAACATTTCTGAGGTTGAAAGCAAGGGGGTTTGACAATTGCAAACTAAAGCAGGGCTGTATTCTATGAAAATATGTCATTGAGAGGAGAAGGATCATGAAAGAAGAACCAAGGTTAGGAGAAAATGAATACAGGCAATTGGTTGGGGTGGTGACAGTAAATAAAACTGTAGGGGTTGGGTGAGGAGAGTTTCTGTAGTAGGGAACTGTTGGTTTTATTTCATAGAATCATAGAATGGTTTGGGTTAAAAAGGAAAATATGTTAAAGATCATCCAGTCCAACTCCCCTGCCATAGGCAGGGACACTTTCCACTACACCAGGTTTCCCGAAGCCCCATCCAACCTGGCCTGGAAGGCATTTACCTGATACGTGAGATCTGATATGGAAATGTATTTGCTAAGCATTGTGCAGGGAGCAAAGTGGACAAGAGGGCTTGAGAAATGACCTGCCCCCAGGAATGTGTGACATGATTCACATGAATGAACCTCAGTAGGCTTTACCAGGGAAGTAAAATGAGGATAAATAAAAGAATTAAATCTGAACTGAAGAAGGAAGCATCTGTGGGAGGCTGTTCGGATACTGCTGGAACAGCTGTGCTGGAGCTGCCTGGCTGGCTGAGAGCTCTGTGGATGGCACTTGCCCATCCCGTGCTCTGGGCAGCACCAAAGACCAGATCCAGCTTTTGTGGTTTCAGCCCTTGGGCTGCTTCTCTTTGCCTGAGCGGAAACATTTGTCCATTAGGTACCTGCGGAAACATGAACGACTCATTGCATCAGTTACCTTCAGGCTTTCAAAACACTGGAGTCATTCAACAGAGGTGGATCTTTTCCCTTGGAACTGGACAAGTTTGGCACAGACAGGCCAGATGACCAACATGATGAATATCCTTCATTTGCTATTCACCCTTGGGCTGTGTTGAGTTACTTCTGTTTGTCTGCAGAGCCTGCTTCGCTAGGGCATGCTCAAAGATAGTCAAACCCATTTTCAGGTGCAGACAATTAATACCCCTACACTACACAGAAGGAAAAGAAGATTTCTGTGACTCAGATCGCAGCATCCTAATGAATGACTTCCCAATTTGCCAAACAGTGTGTTGGTTCTGGCAAAATGTAGGTGTCTCCTGTTAACTATCTTCATCATGGTCCGTTCATAACCTTGTAACCACCCAGGATCACAGCACTATAGCTGCCCAACTTCATAAATCGTTCGAGGCATACACACCAGTGTAACAACACAAGGGCAGCCTTTGCAAAGACATTACTGTGCACAGACTTGAATGGGGTGTGATTCATCTCTTTAAATTAGGTTGTCTCTGTTGGCTGGGCTCCCGTTACAGTGGCTGGGGATCTGGTCAATACAGCCGTAAGGCAACAGTCATTTTATTTTAAAGTAGATATCCACATTTAGGTCAGATGAGTCATGCCCAAGGTATTATGGACTGTATTGACTGGTTATCCACAAAACAGAGCTGAAGCCCAGTTATCTGCCATGTGTAGCTAATATTAGGAAAAGAAGGTGAGTAAGTTGACACACAGAAATTGAAGTGATAACCTAGATCTTAGGAGGTTCACATACACTTCCAGGAGGAAGGATGAACTCACAGCTACAGAAATGGTCTGACAGCACTATTTCAGTCCTGACCTTAAAACAGGCTTCATCTGCCACCTTCTCTGTAACCCAGACAGTTTGGCTCTCTATGCCTTTGCATCTCATATAGAGAGGATGATATCCTGCTTGCAGGACTGTTCTGTTCCCTATGTAGAGAGCAAGAGCTTACTGCTTCTTATAGGGCTTAGCACATGCAATCTTTTATTTCAAACCTCTCGATGCTACTGTGATATGAGTAAATAATGGAGAAGCCATGGCAGAGTCAGAAGAGCTTTCAGTCCCAAGAGTGATTGCCCTTTTAACTAAGAATAGTATGTTTTTATATTGGATTTCTTTCTTTTGTGTGTGTGTTATTGTTGCTGCTGCTGGAAAAAAAAAATGATTTATTTCAATACATTTTCTCTTGTTTAAAAAACAGAAGCTTAACCCTTGCTCTTTCCAGAGTAAAAGTAACCCTACAGGGTATGTAATAAATATTTAAAATGGATAATTGAAGGAGAAAGGAAAAAATCATGTCACTGAGGGATAGCAAAAATTTTATTTCAGGGTAGTGACAGCTTCTGTTGTCTCTGCCATCAAATAACTCTGAACTCGGGAGAACTGCTGCATGCAAATGAAGTCAAATTAAATGTAGGTGTCCACATCAGGCACATCAACTTCTTCAGAGTGGCAGATCAGTCCCCTCTGCACAGAGACCAGGCAGTGGATGCTGAGTGCTCTGCCCATTACAGATGGTCCCTCGAGGACAAGGTGAAGGCTGGTTAATGGCACAGCAGGGAGAGCCCCACATTGCACCTTCCTCTGCTTTCTTCATGTTGGAGCAGATTTCCTCCCTCGGTGCTGTCAGGCCAGTATGCTTCTCCATTACTGGAATTCATTTTATCCATGTTTTAACTGGCACGAGAGAGGAATTGTATGCTGATGAACTGACTAAGCTGTCACCATCCTACCAGCCAGCTCCCCTACACCTGTCTTGAAATCAAACGCTGGGCCAGAGAGTCTGCTGCAGCAGAGCAGCATGATGCCAGCCTGGTGGGATACGGAGAGCATCCTTCCAGAGCTGCTGGTTTCACCCCTTGGCAGGAGTTTGGCTGTGGTTCCCTCATCTCATTTCATGCCCCTGTCCAGGTATATTCTGGGGGAGCGGGGTGGGGGAAACTGATGCTTAAGTAATTCAAGAGTTTTATTTGCTTTTTTCTGGAAATTTGGCAGAGCAGGCAACTGGTCCTGGCTCTCCAAAACAGTGCCAGCACTGTGACAACAAGCAATGCTTATTTATCACAAGGATCTTTCTGGACTTGTGTTTGTCCTAAGACCCATACCAATACATACCCTGCTGCATCCTCAGTCTCTCCACATGTTCTGATTTCAAGCTCTGACAGAAATCCCACTGACTCCCTGTCATGGGCCATGACTTCCCATCTTCCCTAAAGCTCAATGAGACAAGAAATAAAAATGTACCTTGGGCAACAAAAGGCCATTGTTACCTGGAAGTGATTCCTCCCAGTGCAACTGAGTACAAAGTATGAGTTTGAATTACTTTTCCAATCTGGTAATGTGCAAACCACTATCAAGCTACAGGGTGATGGTGATTGTATCAAAAATATTGATTAATTAAAGAAAAAAAAATACCCTTGAAGAGGATCTTCTCAAATGCTACTAATTCAAACATCTTTTGTCCTCCAATTGTGCTGAAAAACACATCTAAATCTAAAACCATTTTTGATATGTATGAATGGCTGAAATAAAAATGACTTTTACTAACAAGTGATTATGTAATATTAAAATACCGTTATCACATTTATCTGTTTACCAGCTGGAGTTCTAATTGAAATTTGTTCAGAACTCATAATAGCATTAGGTCATGTTATGCTTACAGCATTAAGCAATGATTACATCTGTGGCTTTTGTTTTTAATTAGCTTTTTCAGTTATCTGGGAGAGATAGAACCTTTCAAGATCGTAATTCACTTTTGATTACAATGGAAAGAGAACAAACTGAGTCATCTTACAGAAAAGTGTGCGACTGTATAATTTACATCCCTGACTCTGAGGCTGTTAGATCTGACTGTATTTTGATTTCCTGTCACTCATCAGTTATGTTAATTGCTTTTTGATGGCAATGAGGTGCTGGCGTTTGCACATTCGGGGATCTAAAATGACTTTTTACAAAAGAGAGATGAGCGTGTATTGTGTCTTACTTTTTCAGTGGCAGGACAGAAGCAATGCTGCTAATGCAAAGTACTGAAAAACAGACACTTTGTACCAGCTGTGCAGCTCAACATAGACAGTCGAATTTTAAAGAGGGCCTCAAAGGTAGCCATAGCTCTGAATCAGAAAAGTGTTTGAGCATGTGCCTCCATCCTTCATCCCAGCATACAGACATACAATTACTCACCTGCTTTAGGTTAAATATCTTGCTGAGTCTCATCCTATGGAAAGGGCAAGCCTTTGCAAGCAAGCAGCCCGCAGGGGGTACTTTATGTGCCCTCATCAGTGGGTAAGTGACACTAACTGCTCGTTAGTAAAGAACTGACTCCAGCAGTTCCCCAGACTAGCACAAGTTCCCCTGCTGCCCTTTTTCTTCAAACCCTTGCTTAGCTTGCTGTAAATACCCATGCTTGGGAGAATGGATGAGTAACTCCATGAGCCAAGACGGGGAATAATCAGCTTTAATTCGCTGGAACAAGCAACTGCTGAGAGCCAGCAAACAGCCCAGCTCGCCCTTCTGCTGCTACTGCCAGCCTGGGGGCACCGCCAAGCAAAACTGCCGCCTCCACGCATGCTCATCGTGCCGTGCCATGCCGCACCCTGGCCCCCAAGCAGCACCCAGGGACTGGAGAGAATCTGAACATGACTAGCCAGGGGAGCTCGGCATCATTCACCAGCCAAGTGTTTGTGAAGATAAACTGGATGAGGGTGGTAAGATACAGCTGCAGGAAAAGAGCAAGGTCGTTTATGTCTGACACACCTATGGAGGTGTGAGACACACGCAGAGGAGCTATAGTAAGGAGACCAGTCTGGTGTGCTTACAGGATCGTAATTGGTATCCCTGGAGGAGTTAGAGAAATTGTAGAAATCATAGGAAATAGGTTCAGAAGGGGTCTTGAGATGTAGCATAATCCACTCCCCAGCTGAGACAAATCAAGGGGAGAATTGGCCATAAGACACATTGCCTGTAATTCTCTTGTTCTGCTCAGTGCCAGAAGAGCTCAGCTGTTTTCTAATGTCCCGTTGAAAAAAACATCTTTCTAAGAGGAAGTGTAGAAAATCTGGGAAGCGTTACTGAAATGATCAAAGGTCTAAAATCTGTATCATTTATTCAGTCACTAAAAATGATGATAACCAGTTAATGCCACTTACAGGTGTAAAAAAGGCCAGGGTTCAAAGTACTGGACCTGATTTCCACCCCCCACACACCAGAAAATTCTCCTCCCTCTCTTCATGCCTCACTTCGTCCAAATAGTTCCTTCTGTGTTGACCTGAGCCACGGCTCCAAGGTCTGAGTCCTCTCCCATCCTCATTCCTTGTTTCTGGGAAGATGGAGCAATGTTTTTTCCCTGTCACTAGGTGGGGAACAGAGCCATTACCTCTAACTGGGGCTGGCTAAGTGCATCCTTTCCTTCCTTGGAGTAATCGTATATTTTTTTCTGAGCTGAATGATTGAGAGGTTTGGGGCAGGCTGCCCATTTCTGCTGGGATGCGATGCTCTCTGTGACTTGCCATGGAGCAAGGGGCATTCCCATGACAATCTGCCCATGCTACACTCTGCTTTATGGGACCACTGAGAGCCAAGGGACACTGGCTTGAGGGTCTTCTATGCCTTCGACAACAGAGGACTTTCTGCCTCTGCTTATAAGAACAGATAGTTCTTAAAAAGCTGTGTGAGTTCTAATACAGGAGGTTAGACTGATTTTATTCTTAAAAAAAAAAAAAAAAAAAAAAAAAAAAAAACAAGCTAAAAAACATTGTGTTCTTTGCTGTTTATATTGACTGCCCTGCAGGATCTGTGGTGAGGTCCAGGACAGATACCTGTGCTGAAGAAGAGCCCATCACGTCTTCCTGATGACACCCTGAACTGTCAGGAGGCCACACAAGGATGCAGACGTGGACCAAGTCCTGCATTGCACAGGGGCCAGCCAAGGAGATGCAGACAGGCTCAGCAGACTTGGGATCAGACCTCCTGTGACATCCTGAAAGCCTGCAGTGGCCACACAGGTGAACCTGACAGCAGAAAGGTTAAAAGGTGTCCCGAGATGGGGAGTGCTTCACTGGGGATTAACATAGCAAAAGGAGAAGGCAGCTGCTGTCACTGCTTATAGCCACAGTCAGCCTTCACCGAGGGTGAGCTGGGCAGTGAGCAGTGGTCCTCTCACAGAAAACCTTTCCTGCTCTCGTTCTGGGTTTTATTCTTGCTCTTAACCACTAAATACACATATATTTTTTTTCTTGTGAAAACATAGCGGACAATAAGACTCTACGGTCTTTATGCATCAAGCAACCACCTTAGCAAAGATGCAGGAGTCACTGTATTTCCAGTCTAGCTTTGAGCCACTTCCCACTGGGACTCAATCCTGCCTCTTCTACTGCATAAAGCTCAGGGGAGACTTGATCATGGCCTTCAAATAGATAAAGGGGCCCTATAAGAAAGACGGGGAGAGATTCTTCACCAGGGAGTGTAGTGATAGGGCAAGGGTTTAAGGACAGCTTTAAACTAAAAGATGGTAGAGTTAGGTTAGATAATTAGATAATAGTTGTGAAGAAATATTTTACTCTGAGGGTGGTGAGGAACTCAAACAGGTTGCCCACAGAAGCTGTGGATGTCCCATCCTTGGAGGCCAGGGATAGTTGGACAAGGTCCTGGGCAATCTGATCTGGTGGGAGGTGTCCCTGCCCATGTCATGGAGTTGGAACTGGCTGATCTTTAAGGTTTCTTTCCAACCCAAGCCATTTTATCATTTTATGATTCTAACCCAGCTGCCCAAATGCTGGCATTTAACAAAATTCCTTCTGGGACCCGAACAACCTTTTGCAGGCAAGATTTCAGCAAAGTGAGTGCACCACCACAGAAAGTGCTGGCTCATTTCCTAAGTTCAGGTTAAAAAATATATAAATAAATAAATAAAAAATAAAATCCAACCCAGTTTAAACATCAATGAAACGCCATTAAAGCAGTGAAACAAAAATAACTCTGGCCTGAAGACTAAGGGATTTAAGTGAGACTAGAGAGGGCCTTTAATTACTTCCATTTTTACTCTTCAGCAGCCTCAACAAGATTAAAATAGTTCCTCCCTCCTCTTCCCAGTGTGTCAGTAGGACAGAGCCATGCAGAGCACTCACGCGCAGTGCCTCCTCAGACACAACAATACCTCCGTTGGCTTCCCTCCCCTCCCACAGCAGGCATTCAGCATGGATCTGTCCTACCACAGCCAAAACAAGAGGCACAACAGGTGGATTTCTTTTTTTGTCTCCATTCTGTCCCTCTTCTCCCTTCCTCTTTTTTTTTTTTTTTTTTTTTCAGAGGAGATGCAGATGGCAGAGTCACTCCCTTTGCGGTGTGTGAGTGGCTAGATGCAAAAATTCCCCACAGCTTGTGCAATTTTCTGAGCTGCCTTCTGCTCACCTCCACCTCCTCATTTTCCTCTTTATCTGCTTTCCGTATTCTCCGTGCTGCCACCGGTCCTGTGGAAATGAACACATCAAAGCCATAAGTAGTCATTTTTTTCACTGTTCCTGTGTCCTCTCTCCCCCCTCTTCCTTTAGCATTAATATTAATAGCTACTGTACCTTTCTTCACTGTTGCTTTCTTCTTGATCCTCAAGGGAGTAAGCCTTTTCTTGGACTTTCTGCTACAGCGAATGCTTGTTTGAAGGGATTCTAGGGCATGCTGGGAAGCACAACGCTGGTGATGCCTGTGATACAATATTGGGCCAAGCAGCAAAGATATAAAATGTTATTGTACTCATTGGAGGAGTCAAGCACGCTTTTATCCCTGCCACATATAGCTGGATATTTTTTTTCTTCTTGTTTTTCTAGAAAAAATAGCTTTTTAATCAGTCCAATATCTCCAAGGAAAGGGAAAAAAAAAAAAAAAAGAAAGAAAAAAGAACAACAAAACAAACAACAAAAACAAACCAAAATAAAGCAAACCCCAAACAACACAAAGCTCTTTCCTATTCCCTCCTTGATGCTTTTCCATAGGGCTGCTACCTGAGAAGCAAAGGAACAAGTGCTCTTTCACTCCCGTTGTCAAACCAAACGCGCTCACACGCATAAATACACACCGCAGCTACACACAGCACCCGCTCCCCCAGCACCACAGTTATTTAAAGCCTGGTGTTAACGAGCCTCCAGCCCTTCAAGGCTTGCAGCCCGCTGACGGTCCCTGGGGCAGCGAGCCGAGCGCCAAGCGCGTGCGTCAGCCCGGCATTTGTATTCTGCGGTGTGGCTGCAGGGCTAGAGCAGTAGGAAGAAATCCCCCAGGTTTGATTTCACTTACAGACGTGTAATGGAAGTACGGCAGCGCGGTGAGCGTGACGTTGCTGCGCCACGGGGGCTGCCTGCAGCCCACGGGGAAGGTTGGTACTTAGGATCACGGCGGTGCCTGAAAGGCAGAAGGTGAATTTCTTGATGCCATCGTCACAAGAAAGGGGGACTGTGGAGATAATCACTTTCACTGTAAGCCTCACAGCGAGTTATTCCAAGCATGGCTTGTGCCTGCATGGATGTAAAGATTATTTGCTCCCATCTTGACACTCGGGATCTGCTCCCTTTGCAAGCAAGGTTTTTCTTAATGTGCAGAAGCAGGTGAAGGTCTGGGGCAGGAGGGGTTGGGGTGCTCAGGTAGGGCTTTCCTTACCCTTTTATTGCAACACGTGCTGTAGCTGGGCACAGCACCAAGGAATAGCCCCCCACCCCTTGTGCTCCCCCAGAGCTGCTGCCTTGAATCCAGTTGCTGTTACAGCCAGCAGTGGAAAAGGGACTGAGAGAGGTCAGGAGTTGGACTGGTGACAGTTCTTAGGTTATGGCCCCATCCTGTTGTGTTTCCTCCACTTTTCAGCAAAGCCTGGTGAAGGCTGGTAGCTGCCCTTTGGTCTCAGTGTATCTGGGAAGATCTCCGCTCCCCTAACCAGAAGGCTGCAGGACAGAAATGTGCTGTGCTGGCCACATAGCTGTGACTTGGGTTGAAAACTGGTGAGGGGGGATAAAAACTATACACTGAGTTATGGACGTAAGGAAAACACCAAGGACTTGTGCAAAAGCCCCCTGCAAACAACAGGAGCTGCAGATTGCAAAAAGACACAGGTCAGGCTCCTGTCGTAACCTTTCCGGAGATTATAAATCCTCACACAAGAGGTGCCATGTATCCTGCAGTGCCAACCTCAACCTCTTCAGCTCAAACCAGCAGCACCAGAACCTGCTGATGGAAAAACAGGAGATTGTTGCGGGAGACAGGAGGAGAGAGTCTCAGTGTATTTTTATCATTAGTGCTAACAAACAAAAGGAGGAGGGGGAGGATCTATTTGCTTGTCATAAATAATCACCGGCTTGATGGTTTAAAGCATATGCAGCAGCTGCACAACCTAATCGAGATGCCTTGTGTTTGCAAACATGCAACCTAAACAAAGTTTCAGGCGGTGATCGTGGGATGCTTTTGAGATCTCTGCGGGATGCCTAATAGGAAAATTCAAATGAGATCACATGCTTTGCTGCTTGTCTGCAAGGTTCTCCCAAAGGTCTCTCTGCTCCCCCAGCTTATGAGCCTAATTAACCCTCAGCACCTAGTTTCCAGGCTTGGAATTTTAAGTAATTACGGGGATGTGTGGCTTCCTTACCAGCACGTCAAACTCTACATGTCACACTCCCAGTGCTGGTATTTGCCTTGCACTTTGTTCAGTGTTGCAGGGGGTGGTCAGTTACTCACACAGGCAAAAATTCACCTGGGAGGCATCAATTTACAGACAGTGTTTGCACCAAGGGGGAGCAAAATTCCGCTTGGGAGTCCTGAAGGTTTTTGTAGCACTCTAGACCAGGAGGCTTCAAGTCTGTGTTGTCCTCAGATGTTTTAAGCTACTTCACAGGCATTATCTATGCCCATTTCATACACACAACCCTACTCTAACCAGCTCCCCTGAGCTGCACGGATCGTGTGTGAGCTTTTCTGCATATTCAGCTGGCAAGGGACAGCCTGAGGAATCTACACTGCCCCCACAATTCTTTACACATTCCTCATTAGGCAGCCTGGATTGAAAGACAGGAAAAAAAAATAAAAAATAAAATAAAAATCTATAACCTGGAAAATAAGAATCTAGGGGAAGCAAGGAGAGCTCCAGAATCTGATGGGAGCTTTGGTGCAGGCTGCCACAGAGGTTGTCCTCTGCTGCACTTTTCTTCCCGCTGCAGCAGTGAATTCCTGTCCATGTGGTGACTTGGTGATATCTTCAGTCACTCCACTGTTCTAAGACCAGATCCCACCCTGGCTTTTTCATCCTGGCATTTTCATGGGCTGCAGAAGCCACAGAGCTGGGTGGGAAGGAACCACCATCCTGCCTCCTGCATGCATGCTATAACCACTAGGTCAGCAGGCAAAGTGGGGGCAGAAGTGTTTTAAGTCTCCCAAATACGTGACCTTAGCTTAAGACTGTTTCAGGCTCTGAGTCCCAGGGCAGATAAGACCAGATGAATGTCTCACACACTCCTTTCTTAATTTGTTTCTTGGCTGGCCTGGCAGACCCTTGGTGGACATCTTGCACATTAGATGTTGTAGATTCCATGGCTAAACACCTATTTTTCCCAACATTCTTTACACAGAGAATTGAGGAGCTATTCAGTAATGTACTGAATTTATATTAATTCTGCTGTACTGCCTTTAAAATAGTGCAATTCCCAGAGCCATGAGCCGACTTAGAGGAGCTGCAGTCTAAGCATCATGATTAAATACTGGCATAAAGCGCTGTCTGTCAAAACTTCTCCCTTCTCTTTGAAAAGTATTTAGGTTCCCTGTATAAGGTTAGGCATGGAATCATTGTTTATTTGGATGGGAATCCATAACTCCTAGAAATTCACTTAAATTGCTGCCAGAAAAAGGCACACAGAAGCCCTTCACTGTATTACAGCGCTGTGCGATGCAATTGCTGCAGTAGCCTTCATGATATCTATTTTGGTCTACCTCTACTTTGCATTTTGTTTATTGAGACAGCAGCAGATTTTTCTGTGTCCAGTGATGGATTGTTAAAAGAAAATAATCAAGTGTACTTGGTTTTCAAAATGATCTAGAATAATTTGAATTAAAAGAACATGTTTGAGAAAAAAAAAAAAAAAACAAACAAAAAAAAAAAAAACTAGCAAATGGCATGCCAGTTTCTTTTTAAAAATTTGGGAGATCATGGAAAAAAATTTGATAACAAGCTAAGCAGATTCCTACAGATGAACACTGCAGCAATTTGCTATGTGTATATTAAGACAGTCTCTATGAACATTTGGTGCTATTAGATTTTGACATCCAATCATAGCCACAAGTAGCTGTATTCTAGATGGTTTTAAACATTTTCCAAGAAAATATTACTGTACATTATGTTTACAGCAGTTGATTAACCCTTTCTTTCAAGTACCTAATATGTGTCTTGTGTGTGTCCTACTGAATAAAGCATTTGCCTTAACTTAGGAGTCTGCATCCACAAATCTTACCTAGCAGGTGACTTTCCTTTTCTCTGATTCGGTTTCTACAGATATAAAACAGGGGTAATGATAATGACCTCCTTAGTAATGCCATTAGGGATTTACTAATAAGCTAATTATTATTGGGGAATAAAACTTTATGTGAGGAACCATTTATTAAGGCATCCCCATGGCTTATTCACTCCATAAGCAGTTTATGAATGGGGCCTTAGAGGGAAGGTCAATGAAAAGTGCTCCAGTGCCAAAACATAAAATATCAGAAGCTTGTGGCCACATCTCCAGCAAACAGGTGTGTATCAAAGGATAGATATGCACAAATGCTCAGTAGTTCTTTATTATTATGTCCCTCTTAGCCTTCCTCAGCAGGAGGAACTGGGGGGGTGTTTTGTCCCATTAGATGCAAAAATATGGGATTTCTCTTTGCTCAATACAATCACCAAGCGAGTGTGAAACACTATGCCTACAGCTGTTTCTGCAGCATCACACGCATCAGTTACAAGTGAAAGGACAAGCAGGAACTGTGCTTGGAGCATAAGGATATTGGGTGAAGATGGAGAGAGCTCCCTCATATAGCCTGGAGCACATATGAAAGTATGAGTTTGAAAGATGCTAGGTCATAGATTTCATCCATCTTTGTCATACAGCTAAAGACAAAGATCAAACTTCAAGACAGAATGAGTGGAAGTGGAGGGAGAGATCAAATCAACTAAAGGTGGTCCAACTGGTGTGGGAGGGAGGGAATAAACCTTTAGTCAATGGTAATGGTGAACACTATACAAAATTTCATCTCTTATTCCACCTTACAGAGCTTTTGCATGGACAGTGTCATGTTTTTGGCTAGGAGAGGGTTAATTTTCTTCATAGGTGTTTGTATGATTCTGTGCTTTGGATTTAGGATGAGAATAATGCTGATAACACACCAGTTTCAGATGTTGCAGAGCAGCATTCACCCAGAGCCAAGGACCTCCCAAATGCCCAAAGGGACATCGCACACCATGGGGATGCTCAGCAATGGCAGCTGGGGGAAAGAAGGAGGCAGGGGGGCACCGGGAGCAGTGGTGTTTGTCTTCCCAAGGCACCGCTACATGGTGAGCCCTGCTGGCCTGGGGGTGGCTGGCACCTGCCTGCCGGTGGGACGGGGCAAAGGAATTCCTTGCTTTGCTTTGCTTTGCTTTGCTTGTGTGTGTGGCTTTTGCTTTGCCTGGTGAACTGTCATTGTCCCATCCCATGACTTCTCACACTTTTTCATTTCCAATTCTCTCCACCATCCCACCTAGGGAGTGTGACTGTGCTGAGTCCAGCTGCCTGCCAAGGTTAAACCACTACAACAATCTGAAATGTTACTAATGTATTTCTTATTCTTTTCCATTGTGCCTAGGAACCTCTTTCTCTATCAGCTGTCTTGTCACACATTCCCATTTAAACCTCTGCAGGGCTCTTGGCTTGCCCAGCTGCAGAATTTGCTTGGCTTGCAAAACTCTGAGATCTTACTGAGTGCCAAATGTGGCTTTTGAGCTCCTACCATACCCTCAAATGAGGATTTTAGCCATTTTTAATCCTAAAAATAGGAATTCATCATTGCAAATCAAAACAAAGTTGTAGGCTGAAAAGCATTTGAGGTTGTTTACCTCTATAGTTCAGCCTTGTGAAACGTCCAGAAAGGACTCTAAAGAGTGTTTGGTCATGGGCTGTGATGACCAATGACACATGGATAGAGCAAAAAAAATAGAGAAGGGAGTACAACTAGAAAGAGAATCGTGAATGTGCCAGGGCTAATGACAACAGTAAATCGA